GGGGCTCAGTATTTCTTCCTCAACTATCCCCTCGAGCCTCACTCAGGAGATCAGAGCCAACCCCACGCAAGGCCCAGTCCCTGCGCAGGATCCAGGCGGGAGCTAAGGTCACAGTCCCCAGGCCCACCCATTTAGAGGGAATCCTCTGGGCCTCCCCCTCCACCAATCCTCCCACTTCTTCCCACCCCTCACCTCTGCTTTGCAGACACACACACACACACACACACACACAGCCGGCCTGTAGGACCTGACTCCCAGCCCTTGTCCTGGCAGGCTAGGGTAGGAGAGCCCAGCATTGCCCTTTGGACAGGGTTAGGGCAGCCCGTCTACGCGAAAAGACCTGGCATCCTTACCTGCTGGGAGCCGTTGGGACAGACGCTAGGAGTCCGTGCACATGAGCTCAGCTCTTATACCTGGGGGCAGGGCGGGACGCGGGGGCGGGGCCTCCTCCCCGCGCCGCCCCCGCTGTTCCCGCAGTCCCCGCGGGCTGGGCGGGGAGCCGGTGTGGCCCCACCCCACACTGGCCAGAGCCCGGCCCACCCTGCAGCCAAGGGAACCCTGGGGGGCCTGGAAGGTCCCTGGCCCCAGACCCGCGGGCAGAGTAAAGGCCAGAGAAAGGGAAGGGAAGAGTGGGGGCTTGGCAACACTGCGAGCTCAAGCCCGGGAGGAAAGTCCTGAGGAATTGTAGGGCAGGGAAGTGGAGGGGCTTTGGGTCAATGACCAGGAAAGAAGGAGACTCAGAGGCTGATGGAGGCAGGGCTGGTGGTCCAGAGGGAATGAGGGACATGGAGTTGAGAGTCCCCAGGGACCACTCTGTACTTCGCCATGCCACACACGTGCCCTCTTACTCTTCACACCAGGGCCAGTTTGGGTGGTTGTCGCTCATACCTGCAGCCCCACAGCTGAGAGGTGGGGAAGGAGCCACAGAAGGGCGGCCTGGGAGAGGAGCCCGGGTGGAGTGTCGTCCTGACCCCGATTCAGCTCCCCTCAGCCAGCCCACCTGTATGAGACCCAGGTGGGCCACCTGGCAGTTAGCAACCTCTCCAGACAGGTCGGGCTGCCTACTGCTCCCTCCCTCAGAACCCCAGGCCTTCCCAAACTGCCCCCCAATCCGGTGCCCAGGATGACACCCAGGAAGCCCAGGATGACACCCAGGAAGCCTGGAATGACCCCTCCTCCTCCCCCCTCCCCCCCACCTCGTCACCTGATGGGGAGGGGGAAGAGAGAAGGGCAGGTGAGTCAGTGTGGGTCCAGGCAGGGATGGGGCGGATCCCAAAGCCTGAACTCTGAAGGCAGGAGCCTGTCTCCCAAGCCCCTCCCAGCCCCCCTCCCCCTCTAGACCCCCCCTCTCCCTCTAGAAGTCTCCCCTTGAGAACCCCCCCCCCCCCCCCGCCGCCAAGAGTGTCCTATCATCCTGTGTTTTTCTGATGGTCTCAATCTGGGACCCTCTGAGAGGTCAAATTGAGGGTTTCTCCCGAGAATGCCTCAAACTTGGATCCCTGGGAGAAGCCTCAGTCTGTGGGACCCTCCTGAGGTCTCTCGCTGTGGGGAAGCCCCCTGTGAGATCCCCTCAGGAATATCTTCAGCCAAATGAACCCTCAAAGAGTCCCAGCCTGGGGTCCTTCCAGGGCCCCTCAGTCTGAGGGCACTTAGATGGAAGGTCTCAATCTAGGACCCTTTCTGATGTGTTTGGTGTGTGGAAGAGAGGTTGTCTCAGCCTGAATGTTCCTCTGGAGTCGTGGACACGAGACGCCGGCAGTGACAGCCGCTGGAAGGCTTTACCCACCGGGCTGCCCTGCTTCGGCTCGCTCCGCTGACGGGCAACACAAACCATACGCCCCTCAAGCCAAGGCGGATGGGGAGAGGGGCACCATTGCCCATGCCAGTCTTCATACCAGAACCTTGTGTCCGTTCTTACGCCTCTCCCCTGCTATGCAGGGAGGGAGGAGGGAGGGCCTAGTTTCCTACCCAGAGAGGATCCATTCATCACAGAGGTTATGGAACATCAACCCAGTTCCATCTATTCTTGTCTTTGTGCGCTCAGCCTCTCTGAAATGTGTCTCCTCATCTCTAACACAGGACTTACAAATAGCGCCTCCCTGGAGCGAAGTGGGGCCTAGACAGGGACAAGCCTGAGGATGGCACCTGTGGTGGTGAGCCCTGGGTGGTGTGTGGAAGTGAGGGACCACTGAGGTCTGCTCCTGAGATCATGACCACACTGTATGTTAACTAACTAGAATTGAAATAAAAATGTGAAAAAAAAAAAAAAAAAAAGTAGTACCTCCAAGGGCTGTGAGAATTAACTAAGTAACACAGGGAAGTGTTCAGTTTAGTGCCTGGAGGACAGCAAGCCCAGCACAGCTCCAGGCTCTCATTAACACCCAAGGATCAAAGCCCAGGAATAAGAACAGTGGGACTGAGACCATGCCCCAGGAGGTACCCAGAAGGACAGGACTCACCACACCCACCCCAGAGACTGTCCCCTTCCTTCCATATGCTCATTCATCCACCATTTCCTTACTGAGCACCTACGCCATGCAAGACCTGGTGTGAGCCGCTGCAGAATTCAGAGACAACTAACATTCTTGGTCCTTAAAGAGCTCATAACCTTTCTTTAAGATTTCATTTATTTATTTGAGAGAGAGCACAAGCAGGGGGAGCAGTGGAGGGAAAGAGAAGCAGACTCCCTGCTGAGCAGGGAGCCCGATGGGGGGCTCGATCCCAGGACCCTGAGATCATGACCTGAGCCGAAGGCAGCTGCTTCACCAACTGAGCCACCCAGGCGCCCCAAAAGGTCATAACTTTTGGACCCACTCTTGGGTCAAGGCAGAACTTTCCCACTGTCTACTTCCAAGAGCAGAAAGAGGAGAGGGTGTTTCAAGGAAGAGGCTTTTCGGTGTGAGGGGGTTCTGCCCTGCCGGCCCTGCCAAGCACTATCCTGCTCAGGAGCTTCACTTCTTGTGCGTCTCCAGGGCCCTCTCCCTCCGGATCTCCCTGGCCAGCTCCCCTATCAGTCTCCAGTACTCATGGAACTTGAGCTCAGAGTCCTGATTCACATCCAAGCTCTTCATCTTCTCATCTAAGGAGCCCACGTCCTGAGGAGACACAAAGGAAAGGCTGGGGTTAGAAGTGAGGGTTCTTGAGACAGGGAGAGAGGAAAGAGCTGCCATCCTCTGTTCTCATCACACAGGAGCTGCCCCACTGTGGCCCGGGGACAGCAGGGCCATGGTGTCCGGTCTTCACAGCCTCTCCACACCTGTCGGGCTCCAAGGGTGGCGGCCGCCAAAAGAGGTAGGGGACCTGGCTTGTAGTGTTGGCCACCGTGTAAATAGTCCCACCACGGCTGATTGTGAGGCACACACGAGGCGTCCCAGAACGCAGAGCTGGGAAGAGATGCTCACAGGTGAGGCGGACCCAGCACACCATCGCACCTGCCATTTGCTCAATGGCGCCCGGCGAGCCCTGGGGCAGGGACCCACTCTGGCCATCCTCAGAGCCTTCTCAGAACTTCCTCCTTCCCAGAAAGCTAGAGAAGTTCACAGCCCTAAGCTGCTCATCTGCATAAGCCCAACATAATCTCATTTCTTTTTCTGGTTTGGTCATTAGCCTGTTTGATCAGAGGAATGGCAAAGACGTGGAGTATCTGGTTTTGTCCTTGACAAAGTCTGTCAGGACAGGCCTGTGAAATCAAAGGATACTGTATACTGGACCCAGGATCAAAGGATCTGTTACTAGATAAACAATCACAACCAAGACACAGTCTGTGGAACAACAGATCGGCGTCACACTGGAGAAGGTGCCGCAGGCAGAGCCCAAAGCTCAGTATTTTGATCAGCATTTGCTCGAAGGCAGAGAAGACCGCCAGATCCACAGAGGGCCCAAAACTAAAGCTAATTCAGAGAAAAGCTAAGCAAGACCTTTGTAAAAGCCACAATCACGCTTTTTTTCTTTAAAGATTTTATTTATTTATTTGGCAGAGAGAGAGAGATCATGAGTAGGCAGAGAGGCAGGCAGAGAGGGTGGGGGAAGGAGGCTCCCCGCTGAGCAGAGAGCCCGATGTGGGGCGACCCCAGGATCATGACCTGAGCCGAAAGCAGGGGCTTCACCGACTGAGCCCCCCAGGCACCCCCCCCCCAATCATGCTTAACTGCAAAACACTCTAAGAATTGTCCGTGGAAGGCAAAGATGCCCAGTTTAACATTATATTGGGAGGAGGGAAACATACAATTAATCAAGAGAAAGAAATAAAAGGCATAAGTATGAGGAGAGAAGAGCCAAACCTACCTCTTACTATATCAGCAATTATGTAATTGCAGAGCTAGGAAAAACCAAGAGCATAATGACTACCATCTCAGCAACTGTGAGCACTGAACAGTGCTGGCTGTTCCAAGGCCTATTCTACACACAGGACATGCCTTACTCCATTTAACTCCATACTGTGCTGGAATGACGGGGACCTTGTCCACTTTGGTCGCCACTGCAAGCCCAGGGCCAGGGAGAATGTCTGGCGCATAGCAGATGCCAGTTCATCACTGTAACCCAAAGCCTAGCACAGTGTCAGCACAGGGCACAGTAGGTGCTCAATAAATACTTACTAAATGCAAAGCCAATCCAACAAGGGAGATGTTATTACGTGTCTATTTCACAGATAAGAAATTAAGGCTCAGAAAGAGTAAATGACCAGGGATAACAAGCTAGAATCTGCATTTGTACCTAGATTTTCTGACTCAAAGTTTATGTTCTTATCCACTCCTCTGTATTTCTTCCCCCAAAAAACTATTAGAAATGATGAAGTGTCTGATTACAATATTAACACACAAACCCAATGCTTTTTAGGGGTATGAATATTAACCAGTCAGAAAGTATAAGAAAGATCCCGTTTAAAACAGGGGTGCCAAAAAAATTAAAAACTTAAAAATTTAAAAATAAAACAGGGGCGCCTGGGTGGCTCAGTCATTAAGCGTCTGCCTTCGGCTCAGGTCACGATCCCGGGATCCCATGTCGGGTCCTGGGATGGAGACCCACATCGGGCTCCCTGCTCAGCAGGGAGCCTGCTTCTCCCTCTCCTACACCCCTGCTTGTGTTCCCTCTCTCGCTGTGTCTCTCTGTCTCTGTCAAATAAATAAGCAAAATCTTAAAAAAAGAAAAAGAAAAAATTCAATAAAATAAAATAGTAACAAATGGGGGCGCTTGGGTGGCTCAGTAGGTGAAGCGTCCACCTTCGGCTCAGGTCATGATCTCAGGGTCCTGGGATCAAGCCCCACATCGGGCTCCCTGCACAGCATGAGGCCTGCTTCTCCCTCTCCCACTCCCCCTGTTTGTGTTCTCTCTCTCGCTCTCTGTCTCTCTCTGTCAAATTAGTAAATAAAATCTTTAAAAAGAAAAGAAAAGAAAAAAAAGAAATCTATTAAGCTTTTGTGAAGAAAAATGAACTGAAGAATATAAGAGAAAACATGATTAGAAAAATGTACCCCTTTTTTTGAAAGACTCAGTAGTGTCAAGATGTCAGTTTTCCCTGAAATATAATTTTATATGATCCTATTAAATGCCTACAGGATTTTTTTGAGACTTATTTTATTTTGGGGCGTCTGGGAGGCTCAGTGGGTTAAGCCTCTGCCCTCGGCTCAGGTCATGATCTCAGGGTCCTGGGATCGAGCCCCGCACCTTCTCATCAAGCCCCACCTCGCATCTCCCTGCTTCCCCCTCTCTCTCTCTGCCTGCCTCTCTGCCTACTTGTGATCTCTGTCTGTCAAATAAATAAATAAAATCTTAAAAAAAAAAAGATTTATTTTATTTTGCTTTTTTTTTTTTAGTAATGTCTACATCCAACATGGGGCTCAAACTCACAACCCTGAGTTCAAGAGTCACACGCTCTTCTGACTGAGCCACCCAGGTGGCCCATGGTTCCATTTTTAAAAAGGTATTTGTAAAACAGTAGGTAAGATGCATTTATTTGTTTACTTACTCAACAATTCTTATTCTTTTTGTAAACCTTTTATATTTTTCAAATTCACACGCTTTTTTTTTTCAATTTCATTCACTGTGTATCTGCTCTAAACGCTGGAGATAAAATAGTGAGCGAGTCCTTTCCTTCATTCTTGGTAACATGCAAGTGTGTACAGGAGTTAAGTTGTGATGGGTGTGTTGCAAAAGAAAATAAAGGGGGTAAAGGAATAGAGGACAAGGGCGGTGATCTTTGCATTCTAAGGAGAAGGAAGGCAAAGCTGAGGATTTGTCATTTGAGCAGAAATCGGAGTTCAGCGAGGAAGAGGACTAGCCAGCGCCTCAGGAGTGAGCATTTTGGACCAGGAGGGCAAATCAGTGTAACTTTGCTGCATTTGAGTTTTGCTATAAAGGGGAGCAGAGATATAAGACAGCTGGAGGGAGTTACAGACCCAAGAGAGAGGGCTGGGTTTTTCTCTTTTTTTTAAGATGGGGGATAGGACAGTGTATTGGGAAACGGATCACAACAATCCAGTGGAGAAGGAAAACTGATGATGCAAAACAGAGGAGGAGGAACTCTAAGAGTCCAGGTTTTAGTGGATGAGAAAGGAGGGAGTCGGACAGCAGAGGAGGGACTGCCTGCCTGGGGGGGAGACTGATGCCTCGGGGGACAAGCAGGCAGGCTCAACACTGCTCTTCATAGGCTCGGGGAGACAGTACATAGGAGTTTCCTGATTGCTCTTATTTTCTCTGAGAAAATTTCTCAGAGAGAGGGACAATGTGGACGGAGGGATTAGAGTTTGAGAGGAAAAGTTGTGAAATTATCATCTGAAAGAGCTGGCGAATGGTGACGGCTGTGCCAAGGGCCCCCTTGCAGTCTGTTACAGAATTAAAGAGAGACAAGTCAACACTGTGTATCAACTATACTCAATAAAATAAATAATAATAACTAAAATAATAAAGTGGGACAAGTCAACATGGCAGCACCTTTTCCTGCAGCAAGACTCCGCTACGCAAGTGCAGGGGCAGAACGGTCCACAGAGAAATTGATGAGGTTGTTTTTTCTTTGAGAATGGATATTTTTGCCTTATTTTGGATCTGAGAAAGAATGGTAGCTCTAACCCTCAAGTTAATGGAGGTGAAAAATTGGACTTAACCTGGGTTGGGATTCTGTCAACCGGCACAGGGAGAAAGGATCGAGGGAGCCGAGGGACTGACCGTAGAACGCAGCTGAGTGGGAAGAAAACAGAGGGCATGAGGGGATGACAGGGGAAAGGCGACCTGACAGGGTCAGGAGCCTGACAGTCCCCACAGAGCCAAGGAACAGAACTGGAATGGCAGGAGGTGGTACTCAGGGAGAAGGAGGCTTGAAACAGATTCTGGAGGTGGTACATTATTTTGGTAATGACAGGATCTGTAGCAAGAACAGAGGAGTGGGTGCTCAGAACCGGGACAGAATCCTTGGAAGCTGGGGGTTGAGAAAGTTGAAAGGCCCCGGTGTGCAATGAATTCTGTGTGCCGACTGAGGACCCCAACAAAAGCCATGATGAGAAACAGTAAAGCAGGAGCTGAACCCACAAGGGAGGCAAGAAGGGGGCAGGTTCCAAGGAGCTGTGCATCGCAGGAAGAAGAAGAAACAAAGATCTGGAAGAAGTGACAAAAAGCCAAGAGGTCACTTCCTGCATTTCCAGGCCCGGAGGAACTCGGATTTGAAGATAAAACCAGTCACTATGTGGCAAAGCTACAGGGACTGTTGACCCTAGAGTCTCAAGTCTCCGGAGAGAAAAGGAAGGGAAAAGTCTGGTAAGTCTAGGGATGTAGCAGATTTTGCAGATGACAGACTAAGTTTCCAAGACATGTTTGTGGTTTTTTTAAGAAACCCATATCCAGGGACACCTGGGGGGGCTCAGTCTATTAAGCGTCTGCAGCTAGGGTCATGACCCCAGGGTCCTGGCTCCCTGCTCGGCAGACAGCCTGCTTCTCCCTCCCCTCTGTCTGCTGCTCCCCCTGCTTGTGCTCTTTCTCTCTCTGTGTCAAATAAATAAATAAAATCTTTTTTAAAAATCCATATCCACACACTTTCACATGCCTGCAAATTCTCAGAAAGGGTATAAAAGAGACTGTTGACAGCCTGCTGTAATTAGGCAACTCAGAGATGAACTCCATGCTCCTACTCAGCCCTACTCAGCCCAGCGGGTAGGAGAAAAGGGGTGACCTTATCAGTCACATTACTGAGGGGAGTCCCAGAGGGGTGAGAAGTAGTCAAAGATTCCTTCTTACAGCCCCCCCCACCCTCACTGAGGTTCTATCACTCCATGAACTGGGCTATGTTTCCATCTGTGACAAACCCCTTCCTACAGCTGGGCCTCAGTTTCTATACACGTGAAGTGAGGAATTTGGACTGTGTTTTCTCTTGGCCTCCTTCTAGCACTGATGGTCTACAGCCCTCCTGGAACCCAACTCTGGCTCCCCTCCGGTTCTGGGGAGATGAGACCAGAGAGGCACAGAGCACACACGGGCTTCCAGCAGCACTGAGAGGAGCACAAAGCCCAATAAGGCACTTGCACACTCACCAGCGCAGTGTCCCCAAGCTACACATACAGCCACCCACACCCTTCTCCGCCACACACCTGGAGTCACATTATGTGCCCAGAAACATCACCTCCCAGCCACCGTGTCCCACAGCCACTGTCTTCCAAACTCTGAGGCCCAGAGACCCCTACCTACCTTGAGCAAGTGAGGCAACTGCTGAGTGGCCAGTTCCCTAAACTCATTGATGCTGAGACTGCCCTTCCGGCCCTCCTGCCCCGCGAAGGTGAAGAAGGTGGTGACCACCGTCTCAATGGCCGCCTCCAGCTCCGTCAGCGGCTCTGCCGCCATCAGGACTCTGTAGGGCAGGGGAGGAAAGGGAGAGTCAGAACAGACGGGACCGCCCCTGCCTTGGCATTGCCTCCTCCCGCCCCTGCCTGGAAGCAGCATTGTGGGGAAGGAGACAGGGGACAGGGATGGAGCCTGAGTCAGGGGGCCAGCGTGGGTGGGGGCAGGGGTGTCTGCTTCCAGAAAGCCCATCCTCTCTAGGTCAGAGCCTGGTGGTCCCCTCCAAGCGCCGGCGTCTCAGGAACCCCTTGATGGTGGCGGTCCTATGAGCCGGAGACCTCTCTGAGAGGAGGCACTTTGGAGCGGCCCCTCTGCGGCCTCCAGTCCGCAGGGCCCTTTCCTGGGGGCTCACCCGGCCCCCACGGGGTCACGAGGCGGCCGGGCTCCACCGCCTATTTGTGCGCGGCCCACGCGCTCCGGGGCCGCTGTTCCCTGCGGAGCAGCGCGGGGTCAGGCCGGCGGCCGGCTGCGGTCACGGTCGGGCCGCGGAGACCCCGCCCCGCGGGGGCAGCGGGCACAGCGCCCAGCCGGCTCCTCGGGCCCCCGGCCGCCGCTGCCCTCCACGGGGACGCCGCCTCCCGAGCCCGCGGACGAGCCGGCTCGCGCAGACGCCCCCGAGAGCCCCGGGGCGGGAAGGCGCCGGGCCCCAGGGTGGGGGCACCGGACTCACCGCGGCAGGGGCGGCGGGCGGCGGGCGCAGGGGCCGCGGGGCCGCTCGAGCACAGCCCCCACCCAGCGCGGAGGCGACGGGCCTGCGCCTGGATGCGGAGGGAGGAGACCGCGCAGACCCGCCTCCCGGCCGCCTCCCCCCACCCCGCGGCATCAGGGCGGGGTGCCCGGTCCCCCGCGCCGGCCCCCGCGCGCCCCTCTGCGGAGGGGAGGCGGGAAGGCGCGGGCCGCCGGGCCGCCCTGCGTCCTAGAGGCCCGAGAGGGAGGGGCGTTCAGCCTGAGAAGCACCACAGACGCCCCTCGGAATGAGATCCTGACAAGGGCCCTGCGGCCCAAGACCCCCAAGGGGCTCCCACACACCGAGGGGAACCCCGCTGAGAAGGAAGAGCCCCTGGACTGAAGTCTCTCAGCGGGGGGCCAGACTAAAACCCCTCAGTGAGACTCCCAAGATCTAAGGGTTCCCTGAGCGGTCCCCTCACTGAAACCCCTCGGCGGGACCCTCCCGATCCTGCCAGCGCTTCGGTGGGGGTGGGGGGAGGCCGCTCCGTGCCCTCCCAGGTCCCTCCCAGGACCTTTCTCACCCCCTCCTTCCTCCTGGGCCCTGCCTGCTGGGGCCCAGCCCGCAAGGCGAGGCAACTGAGGCTGGACAAGAGGACACAGGCTAGCCTGTTCTAGCCTTGGAGACAGAGGGCGCCTCTGTCCACTCCTGGCCCCTTGCCGCACTGGGTGTCTGTCTACGAAGGGGTGGAGCCGGTGGGGGGCGGGTAGCGGGGGCAGGACCGCAGACAGGTCTCCCCACACAGCTCCCTTAGCTACATTTGCAGACTCGTCTGTCCGTCCAGAACCTGCTCCCACCTCAGGTCCAGGCTGACAGTGAGTATCCTGCGTCATCTGGGCTAGGTCTCTGCTGAGGCCAGCTTGGGGGAAAGGGGACTTCAGCGGGGCTCTGAAAGCCTGGGGACAATCGCACTGTGCTGGCCTGAGGGGCTGGGAGGAGTTCAAGTGACAGCAGCTGAGGATTTGGGGGAGACAAGGTGAGGACAGTAGTGCAGAGAAGCCAACAAAGGTCGGACCTCTCGGAGGGAGGTCCATGGTATTCCTCCAAGAATGAAGAAGCCAGTGGGGAGCCCAGCCACCAAGCTCCCAGGACATGAGGGCCTCCTACCACAGAATGGCCTCCCACGGCTCCCTCAATCTCCCAGGTGCTGGGGAAGGGAGCCAGCTCCCACCTTGCTGCCAGTTGGGTAAGAATAAGAAAGCAAAGGGAACTATTGCTTCTGTCCCCACCCCCACCGTCCGGCCTTGCCAAGGGCTCAGGTACCCAGGAAGTCTGGGGGTGGCAGAGCATGGACCATGTGAGATGAAGAGAAGGGGGCATTAGGGTACTATACCCACTCCCAACTCTCCTTTCACATGATCTTCCCTTTCTCCTCCTCCTTTCTTGGCCCAGACTTCCAGACTCCTCTCTCCTTCAAGTCTTTCCCTTTCTTTTCCTGTCCGCCCCTCCCTGCCAGAGTCCTCTCCAAGCCCCTACAGAAAATCCCAGGCTGCTCAACGGCTCCAGGCAACTCCTGGATGGGGCCAGTAACTGAGCCACCAACAGCCCTCCCCCACAAACACCCTTATCCCCTCCATCAGTCCCGGCTTGGGTTCCATCTCCCCATGTCTCTGTGACAACTCCTTCTCTTGTCCAGAGTTCAGGTGACACTCACAAGGTTCCCATTGTAAAGGGGGAATGTCATCCGATCAGGGCCCATTGTTCAGCCCCCCAGGCCTGGGGAAGGACAAGGACACCTGCTCTGAGACACCCGAGCTGTCCCCTGAGGCTGCGGAGGGGATGACCATCCCGAGGCCAAAAGAAAGAGGCCCTCTGGCTTGGCAGTCCCCTCGCCTCAGTACCCCCCCCCCCTTTCCTCTTCTTCTCTCCAGCCCCTTCAGAGGACATACTCAGCCTTTTCTCTCCCCCAGCATATATCAGACGGGTTCTCCCATTGCCATTGTCCTCACATCATCCAGGCTGGGCCTAGACAGGGGAGTGGGCCATGGGAGGGACAAGGCCCCAGAGGTCTCCTCTCCCCCTCGCTGGGAGCCCTGGCTCTGAGGAAGGGCTTGGTCATTCCTCTCTCCCTTCTTACCATCACCGGATGGAAGGCCTGACACCGCAGAGAAGTAAGAGGTACCCCCCAGGGAAGCTGAAGTGACCTGTTCAGAGAGAGCAGAGTGGAGGACCCAAGGAGGCCCAGTCTGCTGACAGGAAGCCCAGAGGCAGGCCTCTCCCCCTCCCCATGAAGTCTGCGGCCAGCCCCTCTGGCTGCCACTCTCTCCATCGGACTCCTTGCTGGAGGGAGACCACAGAATCAAGGCCGTAGAGGAGAACACAGCCCACCGCCCCCAGCCACAGAACTCAGCTGTGCTAAAAGGGCAAGGCAGGGTAAAAATAGAGCACGGCAGTGTCCTGTGACCGTCCCCACCTGTCTGCCCCACCCTCCTTAGTGTCCACCCAAGCAGCCGGGAGCCACTGCAGAGTCCACTGCCGGCCCCTCAAGCCAGCCTGCTCCAGCTGCTCTACCTCCAGGGCCCCAGTCCCTGACTCCCTCTGCTGGGATGTGGAATGAGGCACACAGAGAACAAGCCCGGATTTAGGCCTCCTTGGGTTCCCACATCGTAAGGTCCCAGGGAGAGATAACTGCAGTGTGGCTCTGATCTCAAGGCGATTTCAGGGTAGGGACCAGGGCCAGGTCTGAGGGCTCTGCTCACCCCAACCCCAGATGCCCTGAGCTGGGTCCCCAACTTGCTTCCCTGCTGGGGGCGGGGTAGGTGAGCTGCGAGATGGGCTCTGAGCTGGAGACAGCGATGGAGACCCTCATCAATGTGTTCCACGCGCACTCGGGCAAGGAGGGAGACAAGTACAAGCTGAGCAAGAAGGAGCTGAAAGAGCTGCTGCAGACCGAGCTCTCGGGCTTCCTGGATGTGAGCGCGGTGTGGGGGGCAGGGTGGGATGGGTGGGACGGACATGGGGGGCAGGGTGGACGGGCAAGGGCTGGAGGAACACCCGGGGCCCTCCCAACCACCCGCCCACCCCAGCCCAGCTCCGTCCAGTCTTCCTCTTCTCCCAGACTTCTCCTGGTTCAAGACAAAATACCCTAATTTGTTAATCACATATGAAGTGCTAGGACCCATGCAGATGCATCATTAAAGAGGCCTCACGGTCTAGAAGGGGAAGACTGACCCATGAAAGAGGCCCCAGCCTGCTGACCGGAAGCTCCGCGTGAAGCCTGGGGCCAGCCACTTAGGAACTACTCAGAGCTGTAACAGTTGCCAGAAAGAACTTTGGGACAATACTAACCCGGCTGAAGGGGGCTTCTCCAAGGAGCAGGCACTTGAGCCATGGGTTTCCATGGGAATATTATTAGGATAAATGTAGACATTTTAGGAGGTGTCTGCATGAACAAATGCCTGGCAGAAAGGACAGGAGCACGCTCAGTAGTTTTGACCAGAGCGAAGGATGCAGCAAAGCAGGTCGCAAATGCTGACAGGGGCCTGTGGTGAAGAAGCCAGGAGAAAGCGCACCAGCCTGAAGGTTCTATCCGGCCTGGGCTCCAGTTCTGACCCTCCCACCTTCCAGCTGTATGACTTGGGTGCATTATTCAACCACCAGCTGTTAATTTGGGAATAATGAACCCTACCTCATACTATTTGTGTTAGAATTAACAATTTTATAAGACAACCCCTGTAAAGCTTCTCTAAGCCCGCAAAATATGGTAACAAATGCTGGTAGTGCTCTGCTTTGTTAAGGGGTTTATTCTATAGGTAACAGGAGGCTGGGAATGTTAGTTTTAAGGAAGGACTCACAACAGTCCCATAATTACATGTAGTTCTGCCTCTTGCTCTTCTCTGCCTCCTTCTTCCCAATCAGCCACCGCCCCCCCACCGCCCGATTCAGTACTATGCATCTCCCTTTTCATTTCCTCCCTCCCAGGCCCAGAAAGATGCAGATGCCGTGGACAAGGTGATGAAAGAGCTAGACGAGAATGGAGACGGGGAGGTGGACTTCCAGGAGTACGTGGTGCTGGTGGCTGCCCTCACGGTGGCCTGTAACAACTTTTTCTGGGAGAACAGCTGAGCAGACAGCCCCAGTGGGCAGCGCCCTTCCCCTTCCCTGATTCACCCGCACCCCACTTTTCCCTCCCTGTACTCCTACCCTTGTACACCCTCCATCAAGGGTGCAAGAGTAGAGGGCCAAGCCTGCGGCTCAACTTTCATTAAAGGCTCTTCTCTAGCCAGCTGCTGTGTGTCTCCTTTGGGGTCTGGGAGTGAGTGAGAAAGTCAAGGTTCCTCAATCCAAATTCACTTTATTTGGGAAGTGATCTTATTCGGAGAGAGGTCAAGGGGACATTACATCTTCCTAGTTGAATCCTCAAGGCCCAGGAAGGTAGGTGAGGTGTTCAATGTTCCAGCTGCAAAGATAGAAGAATTTCCCTTCGGTCTGCCAAGAATACTTATTGAGGACTTACCATGTGCTAGAGACATTGTGTAGGAACTGGGGGTGTAACAGGGCACAGAACAAACACGACTCTTACTCTCACATGGGTAAAGTCCAGTAAGAATGCCAGACCATTAAACACACAGGGAAAAGCTAGGAAGAAAACGAAAGGATCGTGATGTACGTATATGCAGAAAGGCTCAAGATGTGTTCACTCACTCATCCCTCAAACATCGGGGTGTGTTTACTGTGTACCCAGGCATAAGAAACATCCTGTGTAGGTCTGCGTCAAAACGCACATGGCCGGCAGATGGGGAGTGCATGGAAGGGAGAGCAGAGACACAAAGACACCGCCCCCCCACACGGATTTAACAACATTCAGGAAGAGAAAAACACGCAAAGGCATTGATACTAGTGACTGGCGTAGGGTCCGGCGCCCTGGCCTTGCCTGGGGCGCCTATGGGCGTCTACGGCTCTGCACAGCTGGGAGAGCGCCCGCGTCCAGAACCCGGGCCCAGGGGCTCGGGAAGAGGCATCGAAGCAAATCCCACGTACCGAGCCGCAGATGGTCTCCCTCAGCCGCGGCGGGGCGCCGCGAGGAAAAACAAACCTCTTTCCGCCCCAAGATCAAAACGGTTCTCAGCTGCCCTGGTTACAACCTCGCTGCCCGCCCGGAGCACCTGCTCCAGCGCCAAGCTCGCGCACTGGCCACGCCCCTCCGCCCCCACCTCTGCTAAGGCCCCGCCTTCTCCCCAGGCTCCGCCCCAACCCTCCGGGCAGGCGTAGGACTCCTCTTCTGCCCCTACCGCGCTGTGCGCGGATCTGACGTCTGACGTAATTGCGTCGACGCCATTTTAGCCGGTCCCACTAGGCTCTGGGCGTGGCGGCCATTTTGTTTTGGGCAGCGAGCGGGAGGAGTCGGAGGCGGCGGCAGTGGTGGCAGCGACGCAAGGCAGGAAAGGGCAGGCCGGGCGAGCAGGCGGACTGGCCGACCAGACAGCCGGCTGGCAGCAGCGAGCTAACCTAGCAGCCTAGCGCTTACACCTCTGACCAACCGCCCACCAAGTCAAGTCAGGTTCCGCCGGGCCCCGGCCCGCGCGCCGCAGCCGTGGTGGCAGCCCCGGGAGGCGCACTGGCGTCCGTTTCCTTCGGTGCGTTTCGGTGGCGCGGCGGGCTCGGGGGCGGAGCCGGCGGCGCGGGCGGGGGTGGGGGGTGTCCTCCCTCCGCCCGGGGCCGGCTCGCATCCCGCGCTGGTCGGGCCTCCCCGCGGGGACGGGGCTCGCGGGCGCTGGGGCGGGCGCTGAGAGGAAGCCCGCGTCGGGCTTCGTCCGGCCCGGTGTGGGGCCGCCGTGTGGGGCCTGCGGCGTCGGAGCGGCCTGTGAGCGTGCGCCGGGAGACGCCGGCCGGGTGGGAGCTCCGGCGGCCCCCGCCGGCTGGGCCGGGTCGTGGACGCCTGCGGAGGCGGGGGGTCCGTGCTCTGACTGCGGCTTCTGCCTATTGTCCCCTGCAGATCCTCGGGATTTGAAGATGGCTGCTCAGTCGGCGCCGAAAGTCGTGCTAAAGAGCACCACCAAGATGTCTCTAAATGAGCGGTGAGGCAGCCAACAGCAGCTCAGCTCGTTCCTAAGAAAACATTCCTTAACTTGGCCCTGGGGTCCGGTGCACAGACACCAGTTTTAAGCTAAATACCAACAGAAGGCTACAGACCTCTGTTCCTAGGGGCCTCTTACGTGGTACACAGAGCGAATCGGGCGGTTGTTCCAAAACCCCTTGTCAGTAGATGTCTGTGTTAAGCTGTCTGAAGTACTTACCTGGTGGGATGTGTTTTGAGAGACTCCTCACCCCTCCCTCTTGTTCACGTTTTTTACATCGATACGGGGGTGCTGCAGCTCGGGGCATGGTCCCTTGGCTGCGGTGGGCTTGCTGCCCCGTCCGAGGCCAGCAGCTGTGTCTGGCCTGTAAGAGGCAGGCAGCAAGCCGTGGGTATGTCCGAAGGCCCTTGGGTGCCGTTCTTGGGCCTTGTAAGAGGCACTTGCTTTGCTCCGTTTCTCTTTCTTTCGGCTCTGCTTTTAGTTTGTTTCTGTGTTAAATTCTTTCCCAGTGAAGTGTCGTTCCTTTTCGTGCCATTGAACTTACTTGACAAAAACACCAGGAGTGTCTTCACGAGCTGTTAAGCGACTAAAATAATCTGATTTTCTCCAAAGTCATCGCTTGGCGTTAGGAAAAGTAACCATTTGAAAGTAAGAAAAGGTGCTTAAAAGCGGTTTCTGTTTCTGAGCACTCTTTGAGTGCCTTTGACCATGGGTTTTATTTAGTTGGCGTTAGACCACCAAAAGATGTATGGATGTTTTTGCCTTTTCTGAAGCGTATGTGCTTCTTATCTCAGGGCGTGAAGTACCGATTCTCCGTATTTGATGTCGCTAAGCGAACGAATACATAAGAAAATGAGATACGCTCCTGTAATTCCTGGGGGTGGACTGTTGCATGGGCCGTGAGGCGCTCTAGTCCTTTTCTGTTTGCCCTTACAGTGCACCCTCAGGTTCCCCCAAGGTTTTGGCTTTCTTTGTTTGTCTTTGAAACTACATTTTGTCTTTTGTTGTCATCATATCTGCTGCTTGCGTGTTTTTCGTTCCTTCCACCTCTCAGAAGCCGTTACCTGAGCCCTTGTTGCCACTTTTGATTGAATGTGCTGCACTTAGCTGCATTTCTCAGTTTCTGATTCTTGCAAGTTTGTGGAAGCAGAGGAGTCTTAAACCCACTTCAGCCTTGATCTAAGCGTACCACTTTACTTAAAGTTCGTGGGATCTGGAGCTCCTGGTCTAGCAAGCCATGAAAATGCCAATAAATGTTTTGTAATAAAGCTTTTATTTAAACATCCATTCTGTTCGACCTTGAAGCTTTACTAATATGCTGAAGAACAAACAGCCGATGCCAGTGAATATTCGGGCTTCGATGCAGCAACAACAGCAGCTAGCCAGTGCCAGAAACAGAAGACTGGCCCAGCAGATGGAGAATAGACCCTCTGTCCAGGCAGCATTAAAACTTAAGCAGGTGAGAGGACGGGTCCTAATGCTCCAGAAGCAGCTGGTGATCTCTGTCAGGCAGTCCACTGAGGCTGTCAGGACGTGAAGGATGATTGCAAGTGGCTCAGGGCAAAAGCAGAAACTTCTCTGGAGGAAAGAGAAGTTCAGAGATTTCCCAGTTTGTCAGGTACCAATAAGTAACTTTTTGTTGTCTTTCTCTTTTAGGTAGTTTGCCATCAAGTGTGATCTGTTCTGTTATCAATGAGTATTCATCTCTTTTTTTTTTTTCCTGATCCTTTGCCCTTAAAGTAGATTCACTGGATTTTACCACAGAGAAACTTTGGTTTCTCTTTTAGATGACTTTCAGATAAATCCTTTACTTATTCCATGTTAAATGACTTACAAATGAGGGAAATAATTTTGTTCTTTCTCCCCTAGCACAGGAAGTCTGAATAGCCTAAGGCAAAAGATTTCTAGTGCTAAAATATAGAAATAGTAGGGTGACCTTCATCTCCACAGCACCTGAGTTTTGTCAGAAAAATTGAGGGAGAGCATTGAATAATCAATGTAAGAATTGGTGGGTTTTCTTTCAAACTTCCAGTAAGAGATAATCCTTACTCAGATCTGAAATAAAACCTGCTCTTTATTATTCATAGACTTTATATGCAAGTCCGGACAATGGCTGTGGAAGGATATGTCCAAGCTGTGGCTGGGCGTCTGGAGGGCGATGCCATGCAACTGTAAGGACTTGAACTGGTCGCACTGCATGGCTGTGCATAAATTCAGCAGTTAAATATAACACCCTCCCACCCCACCCTGCACTGTTGGGCTCACTGACCAAAAATAAACAAGGCCTTCTGCTTCAGCTACCTTAAGCCTTGGAGTTCCTGTATTTGTCCCTGATTCAGGAAAGCAGTAAAAAGGGCCCCACTGTTTTCCGAGACTAGCTATTATAAATTGCTAAAGATAAGTCTCTGACACATCATTCCAAAGGATCTTTCTAGAAGAAGCTTTAAATATAGGCTGGGCAGAAAGTAGCCTCTGGAGCAGAGCTATCTGATAGAACTTTCCACAGGGGAGGAAATACTGTTTATCTGCTCTCCACATACGGTAGCTACTAGCCAGGTGTGACTGTTGAGCACTCAGAATGTGGCAAGTATGATTGAGGAGCGTTTTAAATTTTATTAACTTGTAATTTAAATAGCCACATGAGGCTTGTGGCTACCTTAGCATACAGTACAGCTCTGGAATGAAAACTAGGTGGTATAATGACATCTTTAAGCTTACCAACTCTGTTAGAGACTACGATTGACGGCCAGAAAGGGATAGGAAGGGAGAATTCTAAGCACCGTGCATTATCTGCAGAGGCACGGATTTTGGGAGAATATACATACTCAGGATCATCGAACAGAACGGATTTGTAGAATGATGTCCTGACCTCCTGATCGTGTGCTGTCAGGGGAGTGATGGCGACAGACTCTTAAGGTTGGTTATGCTTGGGTGCATAATGTTCAGAGTCTGTCCTTCTGATTAGAAGCAGTTTATTAGCTTATGCTAGAAAGCTAATAATAATAATTCACAGCTTGTGGTTGGGGAAAAAAAAAAGTCATTGGTAAGTCATTTACGGGTCAAGCCTGAGGATACACAGAATTTATTTTCACTCGCCCTGACTGATGGCTTTATAGGAAAACGGGTTTGCTGGGGCCTCGATTGTGTTCAAGGCTACACAGTCACCTTTTCCTTTGAAGGAATTTAATTCACCGAGATGTGGTCTCTT